TGTTTACTGAAAACAGCTCCTTCAGATTCAAAAGGCAGCTGTGGGAGGCAATTTCCAGTGGGGAAACAGTGCGGGGAGACTTTCCTCTAGAGGGTAGTGTTCAGCAAAACATAGGTATGCATGTATGTTGATAGGATGTCTGTGATAAAATGTGTGCAAATTCAGTTTACAGCTGACATGCCACAATAAAATAACAGTGATAGTTTGGACACAAACTAGAGAAAGCTTCATGTGTTTAATTCCATTTGGAATCAACAATGAGATTAGGTTTGTAATCGTAAGCGTACTTATGAGGAAGCTAAGTTCCATTTAACTCTGCAGGAATTGCTTCAAGTAAACATTTTCAGATCAGGCTGTTAAGCCCCATTGACTTCAATGTAACTGCTGTCCCTTAAGTCCAAACCCTTTAATGTTTTTTCTCCCTTTACATTTCAGATATAAAGGAAGAAAATGTAGCCACAGAAATGCAGAGGGAGTGTAGCATCTCCAGTGACCTTACTAGTTTCAAAATAGGGCACAAACAAAACTGGTATGGCAAAGCAACGATTTTCTGCATCTTTCTTTGAAGCTCAGGGAATGCAGTGTTGAAATGCAGTGTTGAAAGGCAATGAATAGCAGCAAAAAACAACAACAACAAAATCATAGGGGAGACTGGCCAATACTAGGAGTGGTGATCTGTATTTGTCATCTCTATATGGCTGATACATTTAACAAAAAATAATTCACATTTTACCCTCATCAAATATAAATGACAGTTCCATATGAATATAAAGGTGTACCTTCCATTCTGAACGTGCCAAAATGTGCTTCAGGTGCACCATAGTGTTTCCAGCCTAATAATGTCTTAAGTTCCTATTGTTTCCTTCAGACTTCACTGCTTTTGTGAGGACAACAGATTTGTTGAGTGATAATCTGAACAAACCGTTCCTAAACTGAAGGGATGGGGAATCTTTGTGTGTTTTAGCATGTTGGTTGCATTTCCGTGTGAGAAGCTTCTGGGGAGTCACAGGCCATAATCAATCTTCTGATGCAGCACACACATCATTGGAATGGGAATGCCCATCAACTTTGTGGGGATCCAGCCCTCAAATATTTTGTTGGCTCCTATGAGGCAAAGTCAGGGCTTTTTTCCAGCCGAAACTCAACTCTCAGGTGGGCACCATTGTCAATCTTAGAGAACAAGGGAGGCGTTCGTGGTGAATTCCAGCGTCTCTTTTTCTAGAGAAATAGCACTGGGCAGAGCAATGGATGTCACTATTTTTACCTTTGTACACTAGGCTATATTCCAACCCCACAGCCCTGGCCTGCAATGTGTCAAGGCGAGTTAAGCAGACATGTGACTTTGACAGCAGGGCAAGAAGGCCAAGGCACCCAACAAAATCTCACTCAATAAGGCAAATCTCCCTGTTGGGCAAAAGTCACAGGTCTAAAGTGCAATGAGCTTCTGGCTCTCTGGGAGCAGGTTTGTACCCATGAGGCAATGGTGGTAGACCTGGAAAAGGAAAGAAAGGTATTGAGATTGGTGGAAGCGGCCATTTGGGACATTATAGCTGTGTCTCACTTCCATAAAAATAGCTCCCCTGGTGTTGGGGAAATGAGGGAATCGGGGAAGGACAGTGATACATTGAGAAAGAGGAACTAACTAAATCTGAGTGATTTTTATATCCCTATTCTGTTTGTTTACTTGACCAATATATCCAGGTAGGTTAAGTGCTAAATATTTGTACTAGGGAAAGCATGCGTTTTCTAAACTATCTTCACTACATGGTGGAAAGCAAAACATTGCATTTGGGTACTCTTGAGTGAGTAGTCTTCATCCAACATTGTTAGTTATTAGATCTTCACCTTCATGCGTTCCAGATACATTGTAAAGACTTTTTAAAAGGCTCAATTAGCTATTATTTCTTCTCTTGCTCTATTTTCATTTTTAAAGATGTAGTTGCCTGTGCCACAAAAGCTCCAGGCCAGATAGCAAATGTCACCTCGAAAATCTTTTTTAGTTTAATTGAAATTCTTATCTTCTCCCTTTTCAAGTTTTGTTCCCTCTCCTGGGTCTTCAGTTTTTCGAAGTTTAATTGGAGCTTTAGTGGATGAATGTCTCCTTACTCTGTTTTAAAATGTCATTCCAGTCACTCCATAAAAAACAGCACCTTATTATTCAACTTATCTGTTCCCCATGTGTCTTTGAGTTATAGCTGCTTATTTCACCAAGGGAAGCAATTTTTTTACTTCTGCTCATTGGGAAGTATAATTCAATTTGCAACCTGAATCCTTCATGTAGGGCTGTGCATCAGCTAAATAAAGAAAAGGAGGATCATAATAAAGCCACCAAAATCAATGAGCCTAGACAGGCCATCTCTGCATAGGATCACAAAGCAGAAAAAGAGGCATGGGGAACCTTAGGCCCAGAGGCCAAAAAAGTTCCTTATCAGGCTCTTCAGAGAAGCCACACTTTTCTTCCTAGGCCATTCTCATCAATGTATCTGCTCTATGTTCTCTTCAATTACTTATGCCTGGCTGGAGTGTGTTCTTGAACTGTGATGCTATATCTTGATTGCTTGAATTGAGAGGTGTGCAAGCTGGATTGCAGCCTACTGTACAAATCTTTGTTGTTTAGAGTTATTGTCTGTGATGGCTTAGAGATACTGAAGAATTCCATTTGGTTTAATTTTTTAAAGCAAACTGAAGTAATTTCCACTTCCTAGACTAACACACAGATTGGAACAGTTATGCTTCAGATCACACTTGCCTCTTAAATTTAGCAATGCAGTTTTTGGGATCAAAATGGAGTATCTTAGGGGGAAATGCATACACAATGCTCCTTTAGTAGGAAATGCATGCAAAATGCCTATTGTCACATGTGTCCCAGTTATCCAAGCAGGAAAGACATTGCAGGTGTGCAGCATGTATTTAGGTTCTGTTACCTTTTAATGAAGTAACTGGAGACTGTCTAGTATTTTTTTATATATTTGCATTTGAATACAAGTTGAACAAAGATATAGATTCACATCTCAAGCCACCTCAATGGACAATGCTTCCTCATTTGGTTTCGGGGGGGAGGGGCATCCAGCTCATTTAGAGATTCCCATGAATTCCACATCTCTGACTACTTTTTTCTAAGAATGATTTATAATCTAAAAATACAAGACAGACTTAGCTGATAACTGAATGAGTGCAAAGCTGACATGAACTGAAAACAGACTGATTTGTGCATCCCTAGTGATGCCAAATTGGCAAGGCACCTCACTTGAGCAGGAATGCCTGCCTGCGTGCCTGATGGACACACCATGCCTGGAATAGACAGGACTGTTCATTGGCGTTCATATCCATACCATACATTTAAAGCACTCTTATACCACTTTATACCACCATGGAATCCTCCAAAGACTCATGGGTACTGTAGTTTGTTAAGGGTGCTGAGAGTTGTTAGGAGAACCTTCACCGAGCTATAATTCTCAGAACCCTTAACAAGCTGCAATTCCCAAGATTCTTTGGGTTTTAAGGCAGCTTCCCATAGAAGCTCAGGTAACGTCTTGGTGGGGGAAATGAAGGAGGAAAGCCTGAGAGCAAATTATTCTGGCCAAGTAAAAGGCAGAATATTTGCTCATGTCATGAAGTGGCTTGGCCAAAGACATTCTGGCCCTCAAGCTAAAAAAGTCGTCCACCCCTGTTTTAAGTTAGCCCTTACACATTTTAAGCTTTCTGCTATGTTAACTGTGAGAGCAGCATTTTCTTTCCCCTAAAATATGTCACCCTATAATAATAATCTGTATGAATGCCTTAGCAAGGACAATTATTCTGGAACTTTACTTCGACTCTTGACAGTCGCTTGCACAGTTACAAATTGTACTTTACCCAATGACCTGACAATTTGAAGAAACTTGTTAAAATAAGTAATAGGATGGCAAAACAGAGCTGGTAGGTCACTGTCATAGCCCCTGTCAGTGAGAGGTCTGGACACATTTGGTTTAGGCCACAAATGAAATGAACTTTTGCACATTTTATTTCTCAGGGGCATTAATTTGCATAATGAAATCCTAACATAGCCAGTAATGTCAAGATAGAGAATACCTAACTCTCAAATAAAAGGAAACTATTGAATCAGGAAACATATTAGCCAAAAGGTTGACATATTATATATACATCATCTTTTTTAAAAGCATTTTGGAGACACTTTAATTATTTTAATAATAATGTGGGGTTTTTTAAAAAAAAATAACAAGATGAATCCCACATTAAACATATTTTAAAGCTGTGTTTTCCCCCATTCAGACTCCAAACAAATTCATAACAAATAATTAGCTTAATAACGAAGAGAGGAACAAAATCCATTTCGTATTTTTCATGCAATTCCAAGACAGCCATCTTAATTCCGTTGGTTTACATTCGCATTGCACCATAGGCATTGTGAAATACTCTCCCCGTGAGAACGTACAATTGACTCACAGTTTTGTTTTTGTTTTTTTGCATACCGCCTTTGTTTGTTTACTTTTTGCACCACATTTCTTAACCCATAGCGTACAAGTGTGCAGATAAAATTAGCACTCCACAGAAATACAATTTAAAAGCCAATGAATAAATGTAATGAAATACAATACAACATATTAACCTGAAAAGCCAAAAGCAGGAAATTCTTCACCTGGTGATGACAAGCCCATAATGTTGGCACCTGGTGTGCATTCCTTAGGGAGGGTGTTACAAAGTCAGGAGGCCATCACAGAAAACGACCTCTCTTTTGCAGAAGGCATAGCATACCACTACTAGAGAGGGTACTTGGATCAAGGCCTTTGCTGAAGGCATCGTTCTTCAGCATTTTGGTGCCAAGCCATCTAAGACTTTAAAAAGATAAGCACCAGCACCTTAAACTGGACTCAAAAGTCCTTAGGCTGCCAAAACAGATCTTTCAAAAACCTTGAGATTCCATCCATATGAACAAGATAATATTTGGAATAATGCAGAGGCAACAAACAGTGGAAACTGTGCTTGGCTATCCTCAAGACATGTACTGTCCTAGCCACTTACTGTATACAACTGGGAGGGGGAAAACTGTGGTCGTCCAGATGTTGGACTTAATTCGAAGGGACATGGAGATACCTGATATTCAGTATGTTTTCATCATCCTTTGTTCCCTTAATGAGGACTTTGATGGTATAGCTAGCCAGATATCTGCCGTTCCACCAGCACAATTAACTGTGGAAGGGGTAACGGCAAGATTAATGGGCGAGTTGGACAGAAGGGAGGCTTGTGCCATAAGCACTCCTATTTCCAAAAAGAATGAGGAACACCATATGCAAACTTGTGGTGATGAAATTGCATTTAAAGCTGCAAAGCGTTGTTGGTTCTGCAATAAGCAAGGACATTTTGCAAAGGACTGCAGATCCAAAAGAAAGCAAAGTACTCCCAAGTCTGTTTCTGTTCGTCAGTCACGGTCGTCAGCTCAGCAGCCGGCATCGTACCGTAAAGACAGAAACGAGCCGCGAGCTTTTCACGCTAGCACAAGAGATCGTAAAAGAATTAAAGGTGCCAAGTGGAATTCTTTTATTGTGGACTCAGGAGCATCTCAGCACGTTTGCAACGATCGAAGCTTGTTTATTTCTTTCGAAGAGGAAATTGGTAATGTACATTTAGCCAATTCACAAGTCTTGCAGTCGCTTGGCAGGGGTACTGTTAAACTTGACTCTTTAAACATTACTATAGCGAACTGCATTTACTGCCCATCAGTGGACAATTTATTGTCAGTAAGGTGTTTTGCTCGTCAAGGCATAACTGTGCGTTTCTTAAAGTCAATGTGTGAGTTTTTCGAGGGGAACAAACGTCTATTGTATGCCCGGGAATCTGATGGTTTATATAGACTGTATTTTCGCACCTACTCCCAATCGCCTATAAATTGCAGAGCAGCACAGTCAAGCCAGGGGTTGAGGAATGTAAGGCCACATTCTGGGTGTGTCCATGAGGCGCACAGAATTCTGGGACATCTGAATTTTGCTGATGTAATTAAGACCAAGAATATTGTTAATGGCCTCAACTTAAAACCATGTAAATTCTTTATGCAATGTCTATCCTGTTGCAAGAATAATCAGGCTGCACTAGTGGTGCTCAGTATGACCTGCCACTGATGCGTACATTGTGATTTTCAGTTAGCTCTGAAAGTTCTTATGTCATTTCATCTTTGATAGAACAGCATAGAGATAATATTGGACTTGATGCAGTTGAGAAGTCCCAAGCATTTGAGAAGGCTGCTCTTAACTGGGTAAACACATTCTTTGTGCAGCGTATCTGCAGGCAGGGGCAAAATTTATCATGATGTTAATCTGTGTTCAAGACTTTGCTGATACTCAATGCCTTTGTTATGTTAGAATCAGTTACCATTCTGGCCTAGATCACCCCCTATGAGAAGCTGTTTAAAAAACGTCCTAATCTGAAATACCTACGCATTTGGGGTTTAGATGTAATAATGCATTATCCCGCTAAGCAGAAATTGGGTGAACGTAGTGTCCAGGGAAAATTAATGGGCTACCAGCAGGGGGGCGTACAGAATTTACATACCAGCAACTGGCAAATTTCATATTACCAGAAGCATGATACAAACTGTAAATTGGAATGGTGTTGCTGTTTTCCAAGATAGTAATGGTATAGATAATACTGAGGAAGAAGAGGTAGAAGAAGCAGCAGCAGCAGCAGCAGCAGGAAATGGTGCTTCTGAATTAATGGAAGAAGACAAAAAGCCTGTTGAATCTGATAATTTCTTTGATGATTTAAAGTCACAGGCACCCGGGGGGAGGTTAGATTCTCTTGAGTTTTCTGACCGTGAGCTTAGCCAACAGGCATCTCTTCAGTCTGACAATGATGATTTACAACCTGAAACTAGTAGTTTACATAGTCCCATTAAGTCTGAGGAGTCTGACTCTCCTTCCGGACTGAGACGTTCAGATAGAAAGAGACAGAAGCCACAACGTTTTGCAGATGAACATTTTAATACTGTGTATGCCAATAAGGCAGTTTTGAGCCAAAAAGCTACAATGATGTTCAGAATTTACCTAAGCACCAAGCTGTAAATTGGTATAAAGCTATGAACTCTGAAATAGCTTCTTTAAAAGAGCATAACACTTGGTCTCTTGTACCACAAACCCCAGATATGAGACCTATTGATTCAAAATGGGTTTATAGAGTTAAAATGAATGACAAAAATGAAGTTGTAAGGTACAAGGCAAGATTAGTTGCTAGGGGTTTTCAACAAATTCCAGGCGAAGATTATGATTTGTGTTATTCACCAAGTGTAAAATATGAAACAGTTAAGCTTTTGTTAAAAGATGCATCACAACGTGGACATTCTGTTTATCACCTAGATATAAAAACTGCATATTTGTTTGCAGATTTAAAAGAACAAATTTTTATGCGTGTCCCTGAAGGCATAGACGCCGCTGAAGGTTTGGTATGCAAATTAAATAAATCCCTTTATGGTCTGCACCAAAGTGGAAGGAATTGGCATCAAACTTTAGCAAAAGAATTGCTGGATATTGGTTTTCCACAGGGAAAGGCAGACAATTGTGTGTTTATAAAGGAAAGGGCAAACTCTGTAGCAAAAATATGTGTCTATGTAGATGACGTGTTAATTTCTACAAAAACTAAACAGGAATATGAACAGGTAGTAACACAGTTACAGAAGAAATTTGATGTGGTGGAATTAGGCATAGCTAAAAATTACTTATCCATGCAAATTGAGAAAGGCAAAAATGGATCTTTTCTGGTTCATCAAACTGCAAAAATTGACGATCTTGTTGAAATGCTATGTTTAGAAAATGCAAATGGGAAGGAAACACCCATGGTGTGTGGTTTCACTTTACAGGTGAAGATAAGCCATTTCCTAACAAAACTTTGTATCGTTCTGCTATAGGCAAGCTAAATTTCATTCAAAGAATCTCAAGACCAGATATAACTTATGCCTTTCACTTTCTGGCAAAATTTGTGGAAAAGCCCACTACACAATGTTTCTCTGCTCTTGAGAGTGGTAATGTACCTTAAACATACCAAACATTATAGGTTGCAGTTTACAACATGTATTGACAAAGGTTTTGAAATTTTCTGTGATGCATCTCATGCAGTGGAACTAAATAATTGCAGGGGTGTGTCTGGTATGGTGTTTTGTTATAATGGTTGTCCATTTGAATGGAAGTCCCAGACACAAACCATTATTTGTCTCTCCACAACAGAGAGTGAATTATGTGCATGTGTTCAGGCCACTCGTGATGTGGAATGGTATCTGCAAGTATTCGCAGACCTACAGATGCAAGTAACACTACCAGTAAAAGTTTACCTTGATTCCCAGAGTGGACTCGCTATCCTATGTTCAGAAACCAATACGCAGCGCACTAAAGTCTTAAGATTACGTTTACAGTTTGTAAAGAAACTAATTGCTGATGAAATGGTTGTATTTAAATATGTTCCAGGTGACAATCAAATTGCAGACATTTTTACTAAAGCACTTCCAAAAGGTATACATGAAAAACATGTACAAAGTATGCTTTATGTTTTTGTTCCACAATGATGAACCGCAGGGAAATGTTGAATGGTTTAATATGTAAAGGTTCATCATTGTTCCACTCGATGTGTATGTCTTTAAGGGGCCAGAGAAAGGGCCAGAACAAAATAACGAGACCCAGCTTTACAGCTGTGAAACATAGCAGGTGCTGCTGAGTTGTATTGATTAAGCTGTGTTGGTAATTGGGTGTAGTATATAAGGAGCAGCACCTAGCTCTCCCATTACCCTGGGGATGGGTTGGTGGTTGGGTCATGTTTGTTTGTTAATGTATTTAGTGTAAAAGGAGTTTTTGTTTTTCTTATTAAAACCTTGTTTAAGTTATTTTTGAGTCCCTTTTTAATGCATGGTCTCCCCAGCAAGCTCTCTGCAGCGCTACCATACTGCAAAAAGTCAACACTCCCATCATTCCCAGCACAGCACAGTCAATGGTCAGGAATGATGAGAGTTGATTCATGCCAAGAGAGTATGTCTACAGAGATCCAGGATAAGCCCTACAGATTCCGGAGGGTGCATTGAAATTCTGTGCCCAGATAAACCAAATCAGCATTCCCAAAATGACCCTGATGTGAAATTCAATAACTCTGCATGTCATCCTTTTTGTTTTAAGCTCCTTTCTTATTAGTCTAAAGTAAGGGTACGCTTACACATATGTAGCATGTCATAAACGATACTTTTTCTGATTTTCTTTTATTTTCCTTTTCTTAGGCATGTTTCCCAACCAGGCACATAAGGATACATTCCAGATAACATATATTTTGGTATCTTGATTTGTGTAACCAGAAATAATCCCCTCACTAGTATAACTGATAAGGATCAAATGACTAGGAAAAACCGTGGACTTTATGATTTTAAATTAATGTGCAAATTCACCTTATGTGGGAGGCAGAGAAATGCATTCTGTATTTAACAATAATGTGTTATCTGTGGGATGCCATACTTCTGTGTACAATTTCATTTTACAAGCATAAATCTGAAGTATAACACTGCTATCAGAACTGATATCTTTCACATCCTGCTTCACTGATTCAGACTGTATATTAAAGTTCATATCATCCCAAACAAGCATATACACAACATGTAGTAAATGCCTTTGAATTATTGGGGACAGTGAAGTAGTCCTACCCCAGATTTTAAACTCTTTTACTGCAAAGTCAGGAAACTGTAATCCCCCCCCCAAGTTGTATTTCACAGACTATTACTTCTTCACTGCAGTTTGGTGAAAGGGAGATCCATGTATCCCATAACCAACAGGTGTGGCCCCTTGTTTCATCTTTCAATCTCTGCTTCTCCAAGGCGAGTGCTAAACAATTGCATGCTTATTGGAATATTCTTAAAACAGCAGGATTACATTCGGCACATTGCTAGGTTTTCTTCCAAAGATTTGTTGTTAGGTATGGAAGAGTAATTTGTTTGACTTGCGAATCTACCTAATTCAAACTTCTCCAACTGATGTGCTAACTGAAACACAACTATCTTTTGAAATTTTCACTTACTGCAATTTGGCAGTTCTCAAACCTAAATGTGTGACCCAAAATGCATATATTCATGAAGATAACAAACTACATTCATATCTGAGAAAATGGCTTGCAAAATTGCATATATTAGATGAAGTTGCATGCAAAATGCATGCAGCAGGAGAAATGTGGATGGAAATGCATATGCAGACTTTTAAAAGAAATTTAAAAAACCCTCTACTTGTTGCATAAATGGGTCACACTAAACTGATGGGAATGTGAAACTTAGACAAACTGAAATTGCCAGGCTCATGAATCCCTATTTGTTATTATTTACCAGTGTATGCAAATGGGATTTTACAGGTCATGTATCCAGAATTTGCTTTCTAATCTACAAGGTCAATAAAACATTCCACATACCAGTTATGTGATCTAACAAGTGGTTAAAAGGGCCAAGGTCTTTGCTGGACCCTTTATGTAGATTACTCTGTCACCTTATTGTCATCAGATGACAGCCTTAGGTGTGAGCAGACCATGTTTGCAGTGGACTAAAAGGAAAGAACAAGTGAGTAGACTTGAGGAATGTCAAAGGGGAGAACCGATAAGGGAGAAGAATGAAGGATAAAAATTATTTGAGAACTCTTCTCTGCTGCTGTTGTGCAACTGGAAGAAATATGTTAGGATCCCCTGAAATAATGTCTGCTGCACCCACACAAAAATAGCCTTTGCAGCATGCCAGGGACAGAGGTCAGTGGTAAAGAAAGTGTCTCACAGTGGAAGTACCTGGAATGATGAATGATGTACTTATTAATCAAATTGTCAACCATTTTCAGAAGAAAATCTATGCCAGTCTTTGGCCAAAGAGGCACTGCATGTGATTTCTAGATCAGGTCCAAGAAATGTAACTCAGAGTACCAATAGTAGCCATCAGATTTTCTTGACAAAGGGACCAGAAACTGAACACAAACAAACAAACAAACAAACAAACAAACAAACAATACTGGGATAGTAGATTCAAAATTATGTATGGTGAGCTCACGCCGGCTGATATGGTTGGATCTTCCAGGCAGATATTTTAGCTGTTTCTCCAACTCGAAAATGAGTTGGAGAAACAGCTAAAATATCTGCCTGGAAGATCCAACCATATCAGCCGGCGTGAGCTGCCCCAACAAAATAACAATAGCAATAACAATATATAACAATATATTTATAAATTATTAAGCGAATGGGTTTTAAGCAAAGTTTCAGTCTGAAACACCCATCTGGAGAAACTTAATAATAGTACGCAAACGACAGCAACCGCTCACCCATCCTCCATCTTGCATTATGACAGAATAACTATGATAATGTCAGTAAAGGATTGCGCTAGACACACAGACTTTTTAACTACAGTGTCATAAGGATGTTACTACAAGGTAGGTGGCTTGGTATGTATGCCCTCCACATATTTGCATTTTCCACTGTGCTTTGTGTCTTTTTAAAAAAGATATATGGATGTTTTCTGTTGAAAGTTGCTCAGGTGTAGAAATTCCATCACAATTTTTCTTCTTCCCATTTTATTTATTGTTCTTGACATGCAGGGTACTAACCCTAAATCACACCTATTGCATGAATTTGGAAGACATTGGGTATAAATTGCATCTTTTATCCTAAGTTATAAATTCAACTAGGTTGACATAATTATTAGAGTACCAAAGTTCTGCCGGGGATTGTAACAACAGAAGTGCAAAAGTGACAGCTAAATATGAAATGTCCGCTTTGAGTATAATCTAGGATGATAATTCAAGT